TCTGTGGACATGATCCCTGTTTCCCACTGGTAGTTTATTTGCTCCTCGACAATATATGTAATTTAGCCAATTCATTCCCTTTTGATTAGGCGTTGAGTTCTGAAACCTCTGGATGCTTTTTTGGAATCTAAACATCGACCGCAATGGGTGGGTATTCATTTTAATTTATGCTGCCGAGTGGAGGCGGCATACCTTGTCTTTGTACATTTAAAGCCCCACAATCCCACTCACCCACAAAACCCTGGTTGAAATACGTACTGCAGCAAAGCAGTTACTTTTGACACTTTTGCTGCTGGTATTTGCTAGTTCACTCTCGAAGGCGAATCTTTTACTGATGTGGTCACCGGATTAGTTGTTACTGTGCTAAAATTACCAGCTCCTTTTTGGTTCTACCTTGAAATGGGGTGAAGACAGATCGGGACGGCCCTCTTATAATGCATCGTCCTCATAAACAGAAATACGCGATTTCGACAGGCTTTTGAAAGTAAACATCGGATGAAATCTCGACTTCGACTAGTTGTAGGACTTGGGTTCATAAAACGGGGTCCATTAAACGCACAACAACATACGAATACATCAAACGGGTTCGGAATTGAAGGTAAATACAACACTAAAAAGTATGTAACGGCTGTATTTTGGGATGTTGTCAAGGCGTAGATCATTCCATAAACGTTGAATCATAGTACTATAGTTATTTCTGAGCCTATGATCAGTAGCATAGTAGCTTAAGCAGAGACCCATGCCAGAAATGCTGAAATTTCATAATGTTCAGTTGCCACCCTTCGTGTTGTTGGAAATTGAAGCATCTGCTAGCCAAAAGCTATAAGTAGCAGTACTGGAATGTCCCTCAAAATCCACTAATAAATATTTAGTGGCTCATCAGATTGGGGCTGAGAGGAGTGCTTCTGATTTGATACTGGTGAAGCTGATTGAATTTTTGTTCTGCAAAAGGCGCCTCAACGGACAGTTTCTACTTCACTCGGTCGCCAAGGGACCAGGACGTGGAGGAGGGTCAGCCGTTGCGATTGGAGTGTGCAGTGCAACCGAATGAAGACATACACTACTCCTGGCTCCAAAATGGTGTTCGCATCGACCTTGAGAGGCAAAGTGGTCGGCGTTACCTCGAGGGTGACTCCAATCTCCGTATCCTCCACGCTGATCGCGAAATCGACCCCGGACGCTACCAGTGTCAGGCACTTAACAAGACTTCCAAGTTCGTTAGTGCTAGTCGTGAGGCTTCCATCAATGTCTACTGTAAGTTCTTCACTCCCAGCGTGTATCGTTTAGGGGCAATATGTCCTCATAAAACCTGGGTTTAGGTAGAGCAACCACTTCTTCCAAAATCATTAAATATGGAAGCACGGAGTAGCCTTCGCCATTGCCTGCTGTACGCCTTCCTCCTATCACAGTACGTTGGTGAAACGAATGAGAAGCATAAAAGAAGGCAAACAGCTTACTCACCATCCCACCGCCATTGACTACTCTTCTTCCATCAAAGGCCTCGGAAGGATTATTGAGAAGACGGAAATTGTTGGATGCAAGGGCAGTTGAAGAAAAAGCGTGTCGGACTACTACCCGTCACATCTTCATGAAGCTTGTGCACGCAGAGTGCTGTTGTGGCATTCTCCAAATGTAAAAAAAGGAAAGGAGCATCTGTCTTTCGGTCTTGTGCGTTCAGGGCGGCCCTCCTCATCACTGCGGCGGCTAAATGTGAAGGGAAGAAGGTCCGCATTGTTGCAAGATTAATAGTACCTTTTCTCTCGGTGCCCCCTGTGCCTTTGCGTGTGGATGCCAGCCGAATGTCACACCCCATTTCTTCCGCACGCAATACACCACGAAGGCGGTGGCAGAGGCAGCAGCAGAAACAACAGCAGCAGGAGGCAGTGGCGGCGGTAGCAGCGCTGCTAGCGTTTTGTGTGATTAATTTATTTCAGCTTCGGTCCCAATGCACGCAAACACACTGGCCGGCCAGCCATCGTGCGTGCGCGTTTGTTCTTTGAAGCAGACGCTAGCGTGCGTGGTGTGCGCTTGTGCTTGTGATGATAGATGAACTGAACAGCTCGCATTTTTGTTCGAGTCAGTGTGTGTGTTTGATGGTTTAGGGGTGCAGTGAGAGAGGTGAGGGAAGAGGAGGAAGGGAGGGAGGGTATGTGCGATTGCGACCTTTGTTGGGACCGAAAACAGACGCCGGATGATTAATCGCACATGCATGCACACATCCACACGCACACACAGTACGCAGATACGTACACATTTATAGTAAGATACATGGACGAGGTCAGAAATCCCCTCCACCTATTTGTCTCCCCACTTCTCCGACATGTTCGTTGATTTATTGGGTCTAGATACCCTCTTCTTTGTATTGCAAACGGTTTTAAACAAGAAAGTGGCCTCACGAATTAAGCCATTAGTAAAGCTTAGTTCACTCTCTAGAAAAAAGACTACCTCTCGTCTCAGCATTGATAACAGAAGAAAAAAAAGAGTTTTGGTATTTGGGATTGGGGTGCGACGGTTGGAACTATATTCGGACATTGTCCAGCGTGGACTTACAAGTTTCTTCTTGCAAGAGTGGTTAAAGGTTCTTTCGCTAAATCAGCCGCTCGTTTTTTGCAGGTAGACGCCTGAATCATAGTAGCATAGTTCTGAATACTCAAATGTTACTTAAGCGTTGGAAAGTGGTGCGGGATCAGTCGCATATCGTGTCGCATTGAAACGATATGCTTAACGCGCTTGTCTAGAGAAGGAAATATGTTGTGGATTTCAAAGGCTCCTAGACTGGCTAGCGTTAAAGTGGGCTTGTTACTTCCTGTGGGTGTGAGCCCTAATGGTCATTTTCGCCTTTGCTTTGGAGGGATGGAGCCAGAGATCGAGGTGAGGTTGGTGCGACCTGGACGTCTAGAGGACATTAGACTGGGTGAACTGGTGGAACTGGCCTGCGACGTCCGGGCGCACCCACCTGCGAAGATGAACAATATCTTTTGGTTTCACAACGGCAATGGGAGACTTCCCAACATGCGGACCCTGCCCAACGGCAACCTCCTAATTGACAGCTTCGGCATGCAACATGTAGGCAGCTTCCACTGTCGCGTCATCCACGCTGCGGGAAAGGTGGACAGTCGGCCCCCCTTTGTCATCCAAATGACTGGTAGGTGACTCTTATTAAAGTTATTCTAATAAGAAGGGAAAGAGTCGTTTTAGAATATTTTCTCAATCCTTCCAGGTGCAGTATCAGCAAAATAGCCTCGTGAAACTTGTACCATTCTTAAAATTGCGTGTAAATAATGATTTGGTGTTTGATATCGGTGACAAACCAAAGCAGTTGTTGCTGCAATAACATGCCGTCATGACCTTAGGGGGACCTTGATCACCACAGCCACGAGGGTGTTTCACGGCTCCAGTACAACACCGGTTGTTATCAAGTTTTGTCGCATTTATTTAAAGCAATCGAGGGGACTGGAAAATGCAATTATTCTTTAAACAAGAATGGAAGTTCTCTATCTACCTTTTTGTCCTGAGCCAGACCAATCTGTCTGTAACAAAATTTGGCGCAACCAATTACCATAAACTGATGAGGAATGCTCCGGGCTCAGGTACGAAAATTGAGGAGTCATATAAGTATGTTAAGTAGTGGCTTTGTTCCCTTTTGTGGGCTAAAAATAGATGTAATTAGAATTGGCCAATGGGATTTGGGAACAGACACCCGTCACTCACTTTGTTTTCACCTCGGCAATGACGCTCATGTTAAGTTGAGGCCTACACAATGGGATACCAGAAAGGTCCCAATTCACTGAGTTCTATGGAACGCAAACAACATTCACCTTGAAAAGTCCATTTTTGGTTAAATCTGTCTGTTTATAACACACTTAGGAAGATCAGATGCACTTTTTCACCTCAAGTGTTTTAAGGATGCACTCAACTAGCCCCTTCTCCTTACTCCCTGATTTAGCTTTAAGATGGCGAAATTTCGATACAATGTCATGACACTATTTATTTCTGTGGGTGCTATAGGTCGTGGGTCTTTGAATAGCTTTTCTACCGAGCCATAGAAAGGTCTGGAAATCTATCGGGAGAGGTGCCGCGTGAGGAGAGCCCCAGGCCCTCAGTAAGGAAGATGAAATGTGGGGAACTTGATAGCGATACATCTTTTCTTACAATACACTCGTCAACAATTTTCCCTCCATAAGCGGTCAAATAATAGTGTAATATTCTGGGCTCAAGTGATAGCAATTCGTTAAGCATTTGAGGAAGAAAAACAACGGTTCTCTGCCACATGCATCCGTTCCCTTTCGGGTCTTAAGCATCACCATCTGAGGAGTTGTCCACATGCTGAACTATCTTAGAACAACCTGCTTCTCTTCGTGATTTGTCAAAGAAGAGATAGTGACTTCTGAGGCATCTAACGTGCCCTAACTTTTCAAACCTATAAGTATTTGCTAGTTATCGCTTTTTGTTCAGCGATCTCACAGAAGTACTCGCCTCGTGCGGTCTCACAGCAGGTTATGCGCCCATTAGGCGTCCATGACCAGTCGCTCCGCGCTCTGCATGTTCGTTCACAGGAATGACTGCTTTGTTGTGGTCTGGAAACAGAAGCAACGGTCGGGATTGTCACTGACAGACGTATGACTGACTGTCTTCAAAATGCTTGCACTTCTCAAATGCTTTATTAGTGAGCTGGTGGACATCTCGTCCCTACTGTGCTTACTTTTTTTCTGTAGACACGAGCAGTCGCGGATTCTAGAACTTCGTTGTACGCAAGAAATTATATAACCCTCCACACACTGTTCCATGCACGCACTTACTACTACTTGCCTGCCATCTTGATTAAGGGTGTTTTGGACTGACTCAACTTATACTGGTTACTGGTAATAGAACATACTCGCAGCTTATTGGTGCGCCTCGTACTCTCACAATAAAATTCTCATTAAGCCCAATTTGATTTGGACACGTCTAATAGTAACCTGGTAATGTGACAGTACACTCGCCTCAATTTCACCTTCACTATGGTTGCAGCCGAAGATTCACCGAGAGTGAACACAAGTGTTTCAGGCAAGGCCTTCCTAAAGTACGCATTGGCGGAACTGTCAACGGAGCTGATGTGTCCGCGTCCACCAGCAGCGCCAGAAGACGGTCCAGTGATAGTGGTTTGGGGCTTCATGACACGGCTGGGCGAACAACAGCAGCCCATCACCTCCCTGCCCTCCGTGCGGCCGATGGGTGAGGCCGACTCCATTCTCATCATTGATCGTTTCAAACCCGTTCACGCCAACTTCTATACCTGCGAGGTTAATGTCCCTACCACCTCCGAGCGCTATTTCTACGTCTTTCAGGTCTATTTGGCGGGTAAGAAATCACCTCACTTCTCACTTCTACCTCGATGTCCACCTTGGAATCGCCTATCAATCTATTTCGAGTCCATGAGTCCATCAGTCCAATTTTTCGTCTTTTCATTCATTCTGATGCCATCGATTCATCTACTATTCATATAGCCATACGTTCTTCAACTCATCTCAGATTCGTCCATTTCTCCATTTACTGAAACACCATTTTTCAGTGGTTTTAATGTGAATTTTAAGAATGAGCTCGGAAGTTTTCGGTGGATATAAGAAAGACTTTTGCATGTACATATTCCTTTTTGCATGGCAACCTCAAACTACATCCTTTACAATGGCCTTAAATGTCATCTCTCGATCGAACCATGCGATCTAGAATTCACCCATTAACTAATCATGGACATGAAATAGATTAATTTTTCCATACTTTTGCTTATAGTTCTTTTGGGATAAGTTATACAATTTTTTAGCGTTTTCAATTCTAGCTACCAGAAGATCTGATGGTGCATATAGCCTCGTTATAGAGACTCAGCGTTCCCCACGATTAAAATGGTACTTTGAAGTTTTGAACTAAGCATCCATTGATACGAACACTGGACTTAAGATTTGTTCAGGAGGGATTGGTGCCTTCTATCCTTTTTAAAGGAGAATTTTTCGCATGTCCATTGAGAAAAACACGTCTCATAAAAGTGATCAGGCTTGCGGCGTAGATTTAACAGCCTCGCCTCATTTTACGTTTGGTAGAACTGCACGCAAGTAGCGAGGTTTTTGGAGATCATGTTTTGCCAATCGCATCTTTATGGCAATCACTGATATTTAAACACGCTCTACCAGTTTCCCATTTTGAGCTGAACATTAAGCGCCTCTCCTCTCTGCTTTGATTAAGCGGTGGGTTTCTTTTTGCTGTTCTTTCCCTGTAGAACTCTTTACCCCAAAACCCTCTAACTTCGCACCCCGTCCACGACAAAATCAGCCGCTGGCGATTCGGTTAGGCGAGAGGCTGGAGCTTCGATACTACGAGGATCTGACTCCCTCGCAGTCCTACACCGCCGAGAACATTTCTAATCCCCCTCCACAAATTGAGTGAGTTAAACTGTTTACAGGAAGGCGTTGTGTTTGTTGTGTCAGCTGCCGCCTTTTCATCAGGATGGCGGCTAAAGCTCACGTAAACGCGATTGGTAAATAGTCTTTTGGAGATTCTTATTTAACGCTGCTGGGACTAGGGTGTGTGGGAGTGTCAGAATCACCCATTACACATTCAGAAAGTGCTGTTTATGTGCAGGGAGCAAGCGGAATATATTTTCCCAGTATGTGAACAGTGTGCGTAAAGTGATCTCCTGCAGCCTCCTCCTGGTTATGCTAGCACAACTTAATCGGTTGCCTATGTGTTCAAACCTCTGGAATTCCTGGTCGCTTTGCCTGAATTCAAATAGACCACCTAGTCTAGTGTTAAAAATTTCCATAATACTGGTGGTACTTTTAAAGGAGGATTTGTCAGGCAGTAATACATGCGGTTTGCCTCAACTTATTAATCTTTTACAATTATCAAAAATTGTGAGGAGAAATCAAGTGAATTAAAATTCAAAGCTGTTGTGTTTTACAAAAACCTCATTCGGCCACATCATGCTTTTGTCACCCTAGTAAATAGTAATTTCCATCAGTAATTCATGTGTTACGTTAAAATGTCCAAGGCGTAGTCGCTGTTCAGGTGAAATTCTGAGATGTTCCAAATGTAGAATTCTCCCTATTGGTGGGAGTCATAGCATCACGCTGAAATGAAGCAGAAATCGACTCAGCTTGCCTTATGGTGTTGTCCAGTAGTCGAACATCCATGCATGGGCTGGTGTACACAGCTGAATGATTACTTGAATGATAAATACTTAGAGATATTATGTTTGCCTCATTGAAATTCCATTTTTTGTAGCCATTAAATAGCAGCTGTAGGAGAGAAGTTCATTTTTGGTTGCCAGTGCAGGTAGTGTGTTTTCCTTTTTTAGATGGTTCCGGCTGTCATCAGGTCACGAGGAGCCCACAAGGATACTCCCGGGATCCAGCACTCACGTGGGCGCACATATGCGAATTTACGTGAAGAATGGGCGGCACTTGGTGATCAAGGACGCCAGGGAAGAGGACAGCGACGCCTACGAAATGGTTCTCTCTAGTGTCGCTGGTCGTGTCTCTGTGCCCTTCCAGATTATGGTCTCGTGTGAGTACATCGTTCTGACATCACTACCATAGTTTCACGCCTCCACAAATAGAATTGCTTATTTTTACCTTACTCCATTTCAGTCCCTCCCGAATTCGAACCGGCGAAAGAATCACAGACTTTAGACGAGGGTGAACCTCTCATGCTCAGCTGCCAAATTCGACGACGCGCCATTCCTGGAAGTCGAATTTACTGGGAGAAGGACGGTCGACCCCTGGTCAACTACGGAAATGTGAGATCCTAACTACCGCGCAGTCTCTCTCTTCTATTAGTCCTACTTCCAGAAAATGACTATGAGACCAGAAGTAGCAGTAGTAATGGTCTTTACGGCCCACCTGTTTGCTGCAATGTTATTGCTGCCATTAGTCACTCCCTCTAACAGAAAATTTTTGCACTTTTTCCGTCCCTAAAATGTAGACACATTTGTCATCTTACTATTCTCTTAGCTCCTTGAGTGTGTTTTCACCCTTGATTCCATCTGTCGCTGTGCTAAAAAGGGAACACACACGGAGTACTAATTAAAAGCGAGTGTTTTTGCGCCGATCATTCCTATCCTCTTGCTTGATTAAGTTCTTCAAGATAGAGGATAAAGGCATTCAAGTGAAGTTTCGCATACCAAATAAAATTACCCATTTTTGGGGCTGGTAATTCTAGGATATTTTGGCGGAGGGTGATGGCGAACTCTTGCGTCTACCGCACGTGACCGTGGATCATCAAGGACGCTATCAGTGTTTCGTCATCACCGACGGCTACCCCAGGAAGTTCCCAGGTCAGATGCAACACATAGAGATTCGCGGTCGGCTGCAATTCGTCCGCGAAATCAAGGAGCACTTCCTCGAGGTAAATGTTCAGGGCAAGCTAACCTGCAAGGTGCGTGGTTACGGCCAACTCAATATAGACTGGTTTCGTAAAACTGTCAACGGCCTTGAGTCCATCCAGAAACCCAACCAGGTTGAGAATGGTGTGCTCATCTTTCAGTATGTTCAAAAGCAGGATGCTGGAGAGTATGTTTGCGTGGCCAGGTCGAACTACCGAGATGAAGAAATCCAGATGAACGTCAAAGTCATCGTGGGAGGTAGGACACTTTTCTAGGAGCAAAGTCTAGCCCAAGCCTAAACCAGAGGAAGTTAAAGTTTTCGTTCCCACTTTCAGAGAAACCACGGATCTCTGACATCAGCACGAATCAAACTATCCAAGAGGGAAGTCGTCTGGTGTTGAACTGTAAGGCATCCGGAGATCCTCGGCCACAGATAAGTTGGATCGTAAAGAGGCCGAACATTCGAGATCCCTTCATTTACTCTGCACTAATGTCGGGCCAGACAAATACAGAGAGCATTTTGGAGAATGTCTTCGACCCCGGACGGGCAGGAGTTGAGGATGCAGGAGGCTCTCTAATCAACCCCGGACCCCTTGACGATCGAATCCAAGTTCTCCCCAACGGGAGCCTTGTAATCAATCAGGTTCTGTTGAAGGATGAGGCAGAGTACATATGCATTGCTGGCAACAAACATGCCATTCAAACTCGTCAGGGTGTTCACGTCAGTGTTCTCAGTGAGTCAAACAACCATCACTATTGATCACAGAATTATCATTTGTAAGTACTCTTCTGAATTAATCTCACCTTCATCTTGCTTTCAGCTCCTCATGAATATGTTAAGCTGGAGCATGGAGAGGAGACGTTGAGTCCGGGCATGGCGAGGACAATCGTTATTGTTGTGAACTGCGCAATTGCCTATCTAGGCTTAATCTTCGGGCTTACAGTGTACTGCAGCGTTAGGTACTTCAAAAATCGGCGTCATCGAGCCCAGAATGGTAAGCAACGGTCTCTTCTCTTTCCTTCTAGTTGTGCTTGAGACAGTAGGGTCACTGTTTTTGATGATTTTATAGCTAAGACGCCGGAATCCGGCCACCTGATAGCTCAAGGTGGACCGTCCCTGACTCAGGACAACAACTGCGTGCTCCTCCTCAACGACGAGATGATGACAACAGGTTCTCGAGCTCCCACAGGTTCACCTAACGATACCTCCGCCACTGATTTGGGGGTAATGCAGAACTTTAGCAACTACCGTAACAATGGCAGTGCCAAGACCTACTCACCGGCAAACAACTTTGTGATGGGTAACGATGGCCCGCCGCCACCCTCGCGTCAGCTCTTCCCTCCCACCACCGCAGTAGGAGGTGGCGGAGGAGGAGGGGGTGGGGCCAACGGCACTGTGTACCCAGTTAGTGTGACCAGCACGACCACTGGAGAGTCCTGTGGCTCTCGGATGGTCGCTGCGCCACCCCCAACCCCACTGGACTCACGATCGCATCGGAGCGGACTTTCCTCCTCTGGCAACTCAGCCAGTGCCTACTCGCGGTCTCTCATCAGCGGCGCCTCGAACAGCACAGGTCCTCCACCTCCGCCATTCACTGGTGGTGGGGGCGGTGGTGCCTACACCGTCCACGGAAGCGGCGGTAGCGGGAGCATTGTACTCAACGGCAGTGCTCTTGGTGGTCAATACCACCACCCCTCCGAAATGATGGGCGTCTACAATCACTGAGTTGAATAAATACGAGAGGGCGGTGATGCAAGAGCCACATCGAGAAGAACAATAATTTACTATTGAGTAGGTTACCCACACTTCGCCTTGCACCTACTTTACAGGAAAAGTCAGTTTTTGGTGCTCTGTTTATGCCTGTGGATAGTCAGACCTGGCAAATCTACTGGGTTTTGAACTAGAGTCCTCCTCTCATTGTGCGACCTTGTCGCAGATGTTCTTTTCATTGCATTTGGCGAGCGATACTAGTAATTTATGACCTAAAATGCACACTTGCCCCTTAACTTCAAGGTGGGTTAAGGGGTATGGAGTGCTTAGATCACTTAAAACAGTTTATATAAATCTTGAAAATCCGTGCATTAATTACGCGATTAATCGTGATTTTTGACTTTGCGCTGGTAAAAATTACAGTTAAGAATTAATAACGTTCATGCAAGAGCTATTTTGGACTAACTCAGGGAGTTGCATTTTCAAATCGCAGAGGAAGCAAAACTGCAACAGCCTGTTGAACAGCCTCTAAAAGAATTAATTGGTCCGAAGATTAAGGCTTTTAAAAGTGGTCAGCACAGCTATTACCTTTCGATGCGCTGGGGGAAAGTGTTATTTAATTTTCGACTGTTTTTTATGGAACCAAAATGCTTTTTAGGTAGAATGAATGAAAGGGGAATGTTTTGTGGAGGAGATTGCAGAAACCAGACTGCAGAACTGATAATAAATTAGGGCTACAGCGACAGAGATTAATCATTAGCATAGCATCTGCGTGAGAGGCGGAGGGACAGCGCTATTATCATTCATCTAATAGCGTCTGTGGTAGACCCTTTAGGTCTGGTCCTCATAAGCCATTTGTCTAGACGTATGCGCACACAAAGCGCATTCATCATTATTCGGAGGCAGAACAAATGGCTTGTCATTGTGACGCGCGCTCACACACGTACACACAGGAAGCTTTTTAACGCGAGGATCGACACCTGGTTGGGTCGAAGTGATGCTCTTCCCTTGTAGATTGCCAGTTTACCTCCCTCTCCACTGTTTCCACCGTTCCCATTGCCGCATCGACAATTCCCCTTCTCCTGCCCCTGATTGCTCCTCCTTCCCTCCTCGACCCTCTTCAGCCTCTGCGATAGAAAAAGGACAACAAGCATCATTCTGATCAGATTGTATCAGCTCGGACCGAGACGTTGAGCCTTTTAAGTGAAGCACCATCTTCCCCTTTTTTTGCACCTCCAAGAGATGACAAGCCGCGCCACGCTCCGCTTCGCTCCCAAAGTTTTCGAGTCACGAATTGTCTGCTTCAGTCGCACAGCAACGACTGTCTCCTTCCCTTCTTATCATCTTCTTCATTATCTTTTTAAGTTCATTGAATAGTCAAGTTTTTTTCCCTTGATCGGGACAAGCGAGGAGGGCGAAGTGGGCGGGAACACAAAGTGGTGCGATTTTACTAATTTTAAGTATATATATTGACATAAACGATGTGTTTTTAATCATACACAAACACCGACACACTGCATTCTAAGATGCCACTAGAGAGGTGGCAATCATCTGCCAATAAAACAGCGTACCGTGTTTGCTTTCCTATTGAGTCTTCTTACATTATGGTTGCGTGAGGGTCATTCAAGTTAAACCCAAACCACTTGTTTTACCTGATGCCACTGGACCGATACCACGTAAGGCAGTAAGCAGAGGCCGTGTCCCATGATGCTGGTGGCCCTGCAGGCGTAGTGAGCCGGTCTGACTCAGCCATCATCCGTCGGGGCGGCGAACGACGTGTGCTAATGAAGTACATTGCGAACAAAGGCACGGAAGTCGTATGGTTATATCTTCAGAAGACAGACAGTACGGTGGTGGGCCGATAAGCCACTTATCAGTGAGGACTTTCGAATGTGATCGTGTGTCTACCTCAGCGATGATCCTGGCCAATGGCGGCTCCCGGCCTGCGTCCTCGGCTCGTGCAGCATGTGAGTGACGCACAGAGGTCAGTTTTTTCATGCAAGAATAGTTATAGCAGTCATTCGGGACTGTGAAGTTATGTACTGGATGTCCAAACGATTGCCTGGGAAGGTCTAGGGCGATTTAGCCGCACTGACAGATATTTAAGCGCTGGATTTGTTGTGCAGGGGCTGTGAGAAAAAAATTCAGATTACACTGAAATGACTGTAAACTGAGGAGGCCTGGTTTTATTGGATAACCTTAGTACCTTTGGCTCAGTGGCAGTGTAGTGCTCTTGCACTCTTAGCGAAGGCTTCCCGTCAAGTGCCTAAGGTTGGGCAATGCTAGGAGGATGGCAGGCAGGGCAAATCCAAAAATCACGCGGATGTATCTAGTGAATTCAAAACACGACAGGAGTAGTGTGTTTACACCTACTGTGCGATTATCCCGATTCAATCATGCATGTTTGAGAAGATAGTGGCGCTAGTACTATGCATAGCACGGCAGATCTTTCCTGAAGACAAGACGACCTCGCCAGCAATTGAATTTGCACGCCACTGAGATATCTGACTGCAACTTTGCTGATCTTCCTTGGGAATTCCACTGGATCTGGATTTTCGCCCTGTTTGGGAACTGTGTTAAGGTGAGGGGAAATGTGCGGACCATTACGCGTGTCCATCGTCCAAAAGGCAGAGTTATATAATATTATAAAGGGTTTGAAATAGTTTTGTGGAAATAGGGCTTTGCGTCTGGTTCTCCTTGCCAATTTATTTTCTCTTCAACACTGCTTGGCCATACCTATCTAAGTTTTATCCAGCCAGTAGATAATTGACATATTCATACAGGTACCGTACACAGCTCCTTAACGAGCCTTTTCAGACCGTTGACGGGTAGTGCTACCTGAGTTAGTAATACCATTCCTGTAGAAGACGGGACTAAAGTAGTTGCTAAAGTTGGCCGTCATACTCAGTCCTGCTGCTAGGGGTAGTCATAGGTTCTCTCATCTACAGTATATATCCATCTTTCGTTACGCTAATGTTTAGCTCTCGGTGGTAGAAATCAGGATAGTTGGCCTTTATAATTAGGCACATTTGCCTCTACTACCGACGTAGCATCCTGAGTCTTCAATGAAGTTAAAAAAAGACAAAATACCAGGACAGAATGTGCTAACGATGTTCGGAAGGATTGGAGAGCTAATGGCATGGCCAGTAGGCCATTCCACCCACCGAAAGTACAAAGGTGAACCCTTAATGTGCCTGCGGATCTAAACGAATAACTAAGCAAATGATAAACGTCTTCCACTATGGTACTGGTTGTATTTATAAATGTCTGTTATTATATCGCACCCTGGCATTCGTTTCATAAGTCATTTTGGCACGGTAGTGCTATGATGAGAGATGGCGCTTTTGGTCGAAGTCAATCCACATGGTACCTTGCAAGGTGAAACTGATTAACTAAGGGGTTGGAGGAGCCTCCCACGAATTTTCCCACTACAAAGATCTTCCAGTTAAAATTTAATCGGTTTGGATACTGAGCAAATACTTCACAGGCCTCGCTTAAGAGATTAAGAATGCAGTTTGATGTAACGTGCAGAAATTGCAGGTTTTAGAATATTAAATGCGCAAACTTGTGCTACAAATGGCCTTAGATGAATATCAGCATAAACAAATGAAGTTTATACCCTCTCAGGACGATGTAAATTGAAGTGCTTTACGGTGAATTAATGAAGCCAGTGGTTAGGCCAGCAAGACGGATAGCTGTTGGCAGTAAAGGTCAGGGATCAAGATGTTGCTGACCGCAACGCTCATCGCTCCCGATCGTCGGGTATGGGAGGGAGTCAACGTTTGATGGGGGCAATTTAGCCCACATTTGAAAGATTTCAATATTGCTTATTCAAAAGATCCACTTTTTTAACTTGCTGCCGATTTAACCCAGAATGGTCGCAAAAAACGGCGTCCAATATTCTGTGGTACTGAGTGCAAATAAACAATTTAGTACCAACTTCATGAAGCTATTTAGAATCCAGCTGTTTATTCACTTCAAATTTCAATTGACTAAAATCAGGCTAGCGAAATGCTGATTAAAAACTCACATTTCTATAAGAACCGGAAACCGAAGTTCTTTATGGGGGAAGTAATGCAGATTTTCCACTTGTCAAAAAAACGTATACGACATCTGACCTTAACGTGATGCGAGGTGTAAGGTCACCATAGCAAATTTTGAGACTCCCTGTTTGATGAGAACCAAAGAAATGTTCTTAAGCATCGACAGTAGTTGCTTTATTGCTCAGTTGTCTTTTCCCCTCTCTCTTTTCCCTTTTTGGTGAAAACGTTTAGATTACAGTGACACTCCCATCACCGCTGTTGCAGTTACAATTACTGCCTTGTCAGAATGACTTCCGCACCTTAACTGTCGGGTTTCTGTCGGCCTTTATGTGATTACTTCACGCTTAGAACCACAACAAATGGAATGAACGTGTTTTCCTAATTGGATGGTTTTGATTAACGGTTTTGTTTTCTGCCCTCATCGTGCATGTATGCCTGTGAGAGTAAATTGATAACCAGAATTGTAGACTTGCACAAGCAACAGCACGTAGTAGGTATGATTGCTATTTGATTTAACAGTCTGATTATTCCGATGACTTTGTCGTCTCCAAGTCTGCCTCTTGAAAGTTGTACAAGTAGCAACAGGATCAATTTCGAAACCTCGTCCTTCACCGCCTCGATTATTGGGAAGATAGCTGAAAGATGTGAAATGGCTATATAACTTGTCTGCCTAAATTGCATCATTCTGAGAAGATAGATGCTATCCTAAATCGCGTTGACTCGCTGTCTGCTATGATGTAGACCCCTGTTGGCTAGACATCTTAAATGAATTCAGTGCAATCGAATCTCAAAGGGCTTTAAATGCTTGAAATCAACTTTTTTTGCTCAAGCTTCCATGGAACTTCCCAATCGCCAGTTCCGTGTGGCGTCAAGAAGCAGTGTTGAAGCTTCTTTATAAGCTAGTGTGGTTTTTTTCAACTTGGTGACGACCGACTACGATAAAGCCATTCCGCTGCATCCAACTTAGTACAGAAATGTCCTTTTAAAGCTTAAGCTCGTGGGGCACTCACAGTTGAACCCACACAATTTGTTGGACCTGAAAGAGGTGCCACTGCCGCCAGCAGGTGACGGCGAAATTTACATTTTGGTTGGAATCGACACTCTTTAGGTTTATTCGATGCTAGAATAGTGCTTATTGACCTGGATGACTCTTCGACGAGCCGTGTCCTCTCAAGACTTGGAGAACACTGCTCTATCCAAGAAACGGGTATCGAATAAACATTCCCCAAGTGAAGGTGCCTCCTGCTGACAAGGGTAGTATGAGATTCCTTTGTTAACCTGATGGTCATTTGAGCTGCGCCTCCATGTTCTGTCGCATGACATTCCAAGCGTTTGAGGATATCTCGTTCTCTTGTTTTACTATGGCCTCAAGGCAAGCCATTTTATTGGCAAATGGACGGACTAGGTATCTGGATAATTAGTTTGACAAAATGACCCTTCTACATCAATGGCTACAAACTGAGTTAGTCCCTAGTCAACAAAGTTGAACAAATCCCTAAAGTCCCAAAAGAAGAGCTGCTAAAGAAGTGCTTGACGGAGTTCTTTTGTAATATTTTAGAAGTGACAATAAATCGCCCGGAGGCAGGCAAAGCATTATATCTTGGTCATCAGGCCCTAGAAACCAAAGGGAGTCAGCCTTGAGTAGACATCTTTGGCTTTGTCGTCTGGCCCTAAGAAGGAAAGCCCATTAGGAGGCAGCTGCTATCTGACTTTGCTTCTCTATATAACTCCTTGAAGATAGCAGCTTCTAACGTGCTTCCTCATAAGCTACCCGATTGGGATCTCTCTCCCGTGAAAGCCAGTTATGGCGATGAGATGGTATAATACAGGATTACCCATTGGGATGACTTCCTTTGGAAGCTACAAGAAATAACAAATATTCAGGTCGATCCTTGTCTATTGCAAAACTGCACGCTTCAGGTGATGTATCAGGAAGCGACTGTCGCACCGTAATTCAATCACTCCTCGTCCAAGATTGCGAGCGAACAATGGAAGTCATACTGCTTCCTCATTCTCGACCCTGGGAAGAGCTTAACTAACAGTAGCTTATATTTTATTTGATACACATAGGTAGTCCCTTCCTTTATTCTTTTTGTCAATGTTTTTTTAAATGCCGGTGACTAATTTAGTGAATGGCTCTCACATCTTTGTTATTGCTGCCCCATCAGACTGGTATTTTAACATTACTGTCAATTTTCTGCAACATTAAAGACACGACGGGGGTATTTTCCTGCGTGGATTGCTTTGCTGTCCGATTCCGTGATCGACTCTCTCGGTTTGTCAGCAGCGCAGTTGTAAAAGCAGTTAGCAATTACACAAAACTGTAGTTTTGCACTGCATCGATGCATAACGGGGAGGCGTTTGTGCTTGCTGATATCAGCCAACCTTTTGTCAAATGTGAGTTGCATGTATTAGGGAAGCAGCACAGACCGCAGTAAAAACTGGCGTACCGACAGAATGACAGACACTTTTTGTACCTTACAAATGGATGAACATAGATGATGGCGAGCTTTGGGCAAGTCTCTACGAGTAAAATACAGCCACTGTATTGAGATAGATCAAAAACCGCGTGAATTTTGGTTCACTTGATTAGCGCCATAAATGGCCATAGTAACAAAAGTGCTCAAAACACCACTTTGTACATTTCAATTATAAATAAATTTGACTGACGTTTTAGCTTTTTATTAGTTAAAATAGTCTCAATCCCTTACTTTTATTCATCTCTCCCTATGGCTATGTGCATGAAGAAGGTAGAATTACTCATGTGGAATTTTTTCATTTTCTAATTAATAACGGTCGTTGTACTCTTGAAGGAAAAGGCATCATTCATTCGGGAAGTACAGGTAATTAAAACTGTGTGGATGTACTTTTAGAACCAATCAACCAACCCCCGCCGTGCCCTTTCAAAATCCAAACAACAAATGTACCATTTCACTCAGGCTGTAAAACGAAGACATTACGGTTTTTAGGTTTTACAGCAACCCCAGTGATGAAGGAGGCTGTTGTCACCATGAAAATATTGTCTCGCTCTTCCCCTTTCTCCCTCTTTCTTGGTGCAACTTTATTATCCATTTTTTGGCCGTGGACACAAAGTGCTACATTAGCGAAAGGGGTTGACATCTCTATATGTGGTCCTGTCTAGACTAGGATTGATGGTGGCTGTGGCATTCTAACGACCCTTCTTCGCCTTGTCTCCAGCAGGTCGTTTCTTAGTACGCATTTCGACAATCTGCTGCGACTGTTTCTTCATCGCGTTTCGACTCAGTGCTCCGTCGTCATCGTCTTCGTAGAGTACACTGTCGTTGTCTGCAAGGAGAAAAAGGGGCTTTTAAACAACTCCTCTCAAAATCTCTGCAAAAATTACTTGTATTATGGTTCCTGAAATATGCGGTTCTGCACCACAATGATCGTCGATCGTGGCTTTATCGTCAACGCAAAGGGCACCTGGGATATTAATGGGATACAGATGGCACGAGAACGGATCCACACCATCACTACAGGGTCACAATCACAGGAAACTGGAAAAGTTGGCGTAGTTGAGCATACAGTTAATGATAGTGTGATACTACTACAAAGCTCTCCTTTTGAGCTTCTTCATCGACGCTCGTTATGAACGTTTTATTACTTCGGACATCATAAGGCAGCACAATTAATAGGACTGTCAATTGTTTTGTTTATGGGCAGTCTAGGAATCCAGTCTTAGATGCATCAATCTTTCAAAAAAGTTTCTAGGTTATGTCGTTGGTAAAGGAATGGGGTATTTCTGGGCCATATTATGTGAACACTCCAAAATAGGATAAGGTTGGAGTAAATCTATAGAGAACTATTATCAAAGTAGACTAAAATCCAGGCTTTACTGAGTTTCTATTCATATTGAATTTATCCAACGGTAACCGAGAAGGATGTCTGAGCAAAGCTAAATAGAGGGTGGTTTTATAAGAGTGTAACAACCAAACCGATTAGTTTAAAAATTTTCTTCGTAGTTGAGAGTTATAAAACAGTGTAACAAACATGCCCGATGAAGTTGATGAAGAAGCTATCTAACCCCTTTATTTTTATTCAAAAATTGATTTATTTCCGTTTTGCCATAAACCGATAATGTTAGAAAAGGGAAACTGGACAAAACCGAAGCAGGAGTTGAAAAATGTAGTAATTTAATTGCTTGTTTAACTCTCAATTTTGGTAACAGGTCACTTAGGTGCTCCGTCGATATGTCCCCTCCGTGCGGCCTGGCCCCTGGACCATGCCAGTAGCCCTGCCATACATAGGCAAAAAGTATTCTATACGAGGATAATGTCTTCTTACTTTTAAAGGAAGGTCTCGTGTAGCTGGAAAAGGCAAATATTTCCCAATGAAATCTTCTATACAGTTTTAATCCCATAAATTGCCAACGGATTGAAGAACCCGCTTTTTAATCAGAACGATTTCTGCACTCCGCATGAAGTGGATTGTGGTGCAGAAAGTGGATTGAAATCGACATGGTACGCCGCTGCCTGACAGACTCATCACAGTTTTCAGTTAGTACTTTCCCATTTTAATTACAAATGGTTCTGAAGAAGTCATTGGTGTTTTCAGCCTACTTACAGCAACATATAAAAATTCTAAATATAATGGTAGATTTTTAACGAGGGGTTGCAACTTTCTTACCATTCATATCCTGAGGAGTAAACTAGTTCTACCACCTACTATCAAATGTGAGATGCTTCATACAGACTCGGTTTTATTAGGGAAAGTGACTAGTCGGCTGTTTCACGCCTTCCCATCTGGTTGGTAGAGGTGGTGGTAAAATTTGGTCGCACCATCTGGACACATCACTAGCCCTCCCATGCGATTAAGCTTCGCAGCCCACAGCCAGACAGACATCCAAGTGATGGTCGCGAGGCGTCACACTGTCTAATGGGTGTTCCATCAAAAAATTAAACTTTGGCTTTGACATTCATGGGTACCGAATTCTAATCCTCATAGTCGAAAAGAGCTTTTGTTTCTGCATGGACAGTCAAAAATTTGAAACTCAAATTTTAAGCGTTACTCCATCAAAAGATAAATCAAGACGTGAAAAAGTGCCTCGCCTACAAAATAGTTTCAA